TCTCTCTCTGTCTGTCTGGCAAGTGCACATGCCCTATAGCGAAAACCTCTCCAAAAAAAAAAAGAAAGAAAGAAAAGACTACGATTTATCTTTTCTTCTTGCCCTCCTCTGTAACCCACATTTCTGTCTTTTCCCTGGCTTGACTTAGAGTCCATGAACTTGGACGAGAAAACATACTTTTTATTTCTTACACGTCTAAAGAAATGGATTACTCCTTCAATGATGAAGATGTCGAACCACGGCAGTATTAGCTGGATCTAAGACTTGGTCAGCAGCTGGAATCACAGATGTTTTACAGTATGGGTAGTGAGAATACTTAGAAATAAATGCCATTTATACTTGTCAATACTTCAAAATGACTGTCGTTAAATATACCCATTGCTAGATCTTGTTATTTGTCACGTTACTAAAGAAACATACCTATCACTGTACCAAAAGTTTGTGTGTTTTAGACAGGTCCTCCTCACTTAACAACCGAGTTCTGTTCCTGAGACGAGGTTGTTAAGTGAGTTGGTTGATAAGCGAGAAACTTAAAGGCAAATGTCTTGCGTCTTGTCAGGCACTGTGAGGGATGTATTTTTCAACAGATGTCATATGACACCACACTAGAATAATGTAATTCCGTCTATACAAAAAGCACATATCAGATCAGCACCAGAAAGGACAAGACAAAGCACAACACAATAATATAAATCCGGGTACTCCCTTTGACTTAGTCCGAATACTACCACAGGTGCACAATCAAGTATATTTGTTTAAATGGAATACGTGCTCTCGTGTGAGCACTGCATGAACGAATCATGCAGCGAATATTAGTCAGCTGCAGGAACAGGAGAAAGACCGAGAACCGGGGTGGCTCCATGCTGAAGACCTGCTCACAAGCTGGAGTGGTTGTTAAACAGGCAGGTCATTAAGTGAGGAGTGACTATGTTTTGATAACTTGATTTCAATGCAATTGGTTTCCTTTGAAATCGCACATAGTTTATTTTATGCCTTTAAAGCATTATGAGAAGGGGCATGCCACAGCAATCCACAGCACACGGAGGTGAAGACCCCTGGTCACACCAGGCCTCCAGTGCCCTGACTTTTGTCAGTGACCAGTGGGGCCAGAGGCTCATCTGAACTGCTGTGGAGGTGGGCTGCCCTCCAGGCCTTCCAAGGTTTCAGGAAAGGCTTTACCGGTGCAAGATGAGATGCTGCCCACTAGTGGTCAGAAGGCTGCACTGTGAGACTGCGTGGGTGTGGAACTGGTCCTTAGACTTGGGGTGTGAAATGGTAGAGCCCAGGTAGAGCATCTGGAATCCAAAATCCAAAGTGTAAAATGCTCCAAGATCTGAAATATTTGAGCACTGATACGATGCCAGAGTGGGAAGTTCCACCACCGATCTCCTGTGATGGGCTGTAGTCAAAACACTTAATTGTGGGACCAGCAGTTAGTGTAATGGCTGTGTTGCTGACTCCCATGTAGGCAACAGCAGTTCGAGTCCCAGACCAGGTGGCTTAAACTCATGTTGGGCGCGTGTGCGTGCGTGCGTGCCCAAGATCCTGAGAGGAGAATGGAGGAGAAGGGATTGCGGCATGGCCATCCCCGCTGGGGGGTGATTTCTCGCTTTCTATCTCTGTCTTTCTGGTGAATGCATGCACCCTATAGCAAAAACCTCTCCAAAAACAAAACAAAAACACTTAATTGCCTTTCAGTGGGGCCTGCAGGCAGCAGGTGGTTGAGCTGACTGGATCCCACATGGCTGACTGCATGGTTTGAGTCCTGGACCTAGCGGCTTAAAGACCATGTTGAGCACATGTTTGCACGTGCCCAAAAGGAGAATCTCAAGAAGAGAATGGAGAAGGGATTGTGGTGTAGCCATCCCCACTCTCTCTCTGTCTCTGCCTATTTCTGGTGAGCCTATGCACCCTACAGCAAAACTAAAAAACAAAACAAAACAAGACCTTCCGACTATGTCCATAGGGTGTATATGGAACAGAAATGAATTTGCATGTCAACTTGGGTCCCATTCCCAAGATATCTCATGATGTGTATGCAAATATTCCAACATCTGAAAGCATCTGAAACCCTAATACTCCTGGCTCCAAGCATTTCAGATCACAGCTACTCAGCCGCAGTTAAGTTTCTTGGCACTCGTGCCTGAGATAAGGGAATAGAGGCATTAGGTGGCTTGGTCCTCGCCTCCCCCTCCAGCCTCATCACCTGAAACTCTCCCTCGTTCTCTGTGCTCCAGTCGTTTTTGCTGTCCCATGTCTCCGAAGTGTCTTCTGCTTTACGTATGTGTGCCGCTTCCTCTGCCTGGCCCACTCCTCCAGGCTCCGTCTAGATGGCCACGCCTCCACGCCTCAGAGTATCTAGGTCCGGCTCTAGCAGTCTCCCTCCTTCACAGACTTTTCTCACTTTGAAGCCACGTGATCCTCAGTGCGACTGTTACTGTCGTCCAAAGTCTGTCGCCACACTAGACTACGAAGGGCGGGACTGTGTGCTTTTGTCCTCTGCAGGACCCCCACTCCCTGCCCACTGGCACTCAGTAAACCTTCATCCCTGAAGAGTGAATTTCAATTGGAAAATTCACAAAGGAGCTGTGAATGCTACCAGGACAGACTTAGGTCCACTCCCCAAAGTAAGATGGACTCTCTCTGCTCAGGACTGCCTGTCTACCCTGTGTCCGCCACACACCTGGTAACCTGGTAACAGGATCTCGGACTGCATAGTAGGAACAGAGTAGCCTGGGCCAGCTGCAGGCCAGGTGGTTAAGGCGGCACTTTCCCACATGGCCGACTGCGGGGCTGCTGTCCTAGACCCGGCGGCCTGAGAAACACACCTGGCGTGTGTGCATGCATGCCCAAAACCCCAAGAGGAGATGGAGAAGAAGGGATTGCAGTGTGATCGTCCCTCATGGGGGAGGACGCTTTCTCTCTCTCTGGTGAGTAATGAGTCCTAGAGAGAGAGAAAAAAGAAGAAGAAGAAGAAGAGGAGGAGGAGGAGGAAAGAAAGAAAAGGTCAGCTGAGCCTGAGGGACAATCTGTTCTTTGGGAAGCTCTGGGTTTCCACATGGAGGCCCTGCAGTGGGGCTGGGCCTGGCTCTGTTTCTTCTCCCTGCTCTGTCGTGGTTGGGATGTTCGTGGAAGCTACTAAAAAGCAAAACTAGGTCTGGCCCTGGGGGGAGCTGGATCCACATGGCTGACCTCGTGGTTCAAGTCCCAGGCCCTGTGCCTCGAAGGGCTTGCCAGACACACGTGCATGTGTGCCCAATTCCCAGAGGCTGGAGAAAGGGAGTTGCGGTGTGCCCATGCCCCACTGGGGAGGGTCTTTCTCTGTCTATCTCTCCTGGCAAGCATGCGTGCCCTCTGAGGGGCAGAAGGGTTCTCTGTGTAGCTTGGGTAGTTCCTCATGTGTGTCATGTCTGTCTCCTTCACATGGTTTTTTTTTATTTTAAAGAATTATTTATTTTATTTATTATTATTACTTTTAGTCTGACCAGAGAGAGAAAGAGAAAGTGAGAAAGCAAGCTGCCAGGTTTGGGACTTGAACTGAAGTTGGCCATGTGGGAGTCCAGCACCTTAACCACCACGCTACCTGCTGGCCCCCACATGGCATTTCAAACACTTACCTAGCTGTCCTTGCAGAGAGGCCTGCAGTGAGAGTTCTGATTTCTTTCTGATGGTCTCACACACTCACATTCCTACCTACCTCTCACTCCAGAGAATTAGCATCAAATTAGCTGACTTTGGCTCAGACGGAGTCATGACTCTTGAACATGCTTGGCGCAGAATGGCAGGTCCTACGCTCTGCAAACAGCAGTCCTTATTTCCTGACCACGAAATAGCAGATTGTCCCCAAAGTTAGCCTGATCTACCCTCTTAACTCACACGATGTTGGCTGAGCACATAGCACAACATCTGGTGCTTGAAGATTTCCCAGATACGTGCGCGGAGGGGATAAATACAGTCAGGGACAGGCAGCCCAGGGCTTGTTTTCCTCTTCCAGGACCAAACCGGTGTGTGTGCTTGGCTGCCCTCAGTTCCACACAGAAGCCACTAGAGGGAAGTAGCAGTTCAGATAACAACCAAGACACAGCAAATCCAGAATTGTTGGGTTGATAGGACAGGGCCACAGAAGGAGGAAAGCCTTGGAGTGATTGAAACAAAAACAAAAGCAAACAGTTCTTGAGCCAACAGATGGTGTAGCGGTTATGTCACTGGACTCCCACATGAGGAACTGAGATTTGAGTCCCAGATCTGGTAGCTTGAAAATTACACTGGGGGTGTGCATGTATGCCCAAGATCCCGGGAAGAGAATGGAGGGGAAGGGATTGGAGAAGGGATTTCGGTGTGGCCAGTACCCACAAATCCCCTGGGGGGGGGTGATTTCTCACTTTCCCTGTCACTGACTGTCTCCTCCCCACTTCCCCTGGCACATGAGACCTAAGGCAAAAACCTCTAAACAAACAAAACCCAGTTCATCTCTTGGGGGTGGGAGGTGGGGGTAAATGGAAAGTAAAGTGTAGACAGTAGGATTGACGTTAACTTAAAGAAGGACTTCTAGAACACAACATTTGCTAACTGTAGCTTTAAAAAAAAATCCTCGTGATCAGCAGGTGGCATAATGGTTACATCACTGGACTCCCATGTGATTGACTCCAGCTTGAGTCCCAGACCTGGTGGCTTAAAACTGACTCCAGCCACGTGTGTGTGACATACCCAAAATCCCGAGAGGAGAATGGAGGAGAAGGGATGGCAGTGTGGCCATCCCATGGGGGGGAGGGGTAGTGATTTCTCACTTTCTCTCTATCTTTCTCTGTCTCTCTGGCCTCTGGTGAGCGCACATGCCCTAGAACAAAAATCTCTCTCTAAAAAAACCCCAAAACCAAACCTAAAACCTCTAAGCTGTAGCTGTCCAAAGCAAAGAGAGGAGAAAGAGGCCTCATGGACCCAAGGCCTGTGTGGCCCCTAAAGTAGCCCTCCAGACCTGCCCCATTCACTCCATGCTTGCAGATGCAACCGTAGAATAACTTTATTGGTCAGGTGAGCCACCACTCATGCTTTCCTGTAATCAGGACCTTTATAGAGGCATGATGGCATTCACATGCAGATGCTGTCTGGAGGGCCTTGGGACGGGACAGCCTTGCCCCTCATCAGAGCTCCTTTGTTGAAATGAGCTGGTTTGGCTTTTGTGGATTTCAGAGTCTGGGGCCCAGAACATAGTCCAAGGACTCCCTCTCCGTCCCTTCCCCAGGGGAAGCTGCTCTGAAATATGCGAGGTATTGGGGATGTAATGGCCTCTGGCAGGGACCAGACCATGCTAACTCTCCTCCACAGGCCTTGTCCCTGGCTACCTGGATGGCTCCATTCCAACACACCCCAAACAGCTGGAAGGTTAGGCCCCCGGGTAACACTGCCTCTCGGAAGTAGGCAGGACTCACTGCTCTGCAGCCAAGCTATGAAGCAACAGGCCCCTTCAGCAATGGGGAGAGGCGGGGAGGTGTGGAAGCAGAGGGTTTCATGCCCAGCGAAGCCAGATTTGGATGCATGGCCTGGGCTTCATGGACGCCAATGGGCAGCTCTGGCCAGAGCTAGCGCATTAATCTCTGACCTTAAGAAGAGTCATTTAATATGGCATAATCATCCTAGGGATGTCCAGGGCTGGCTGGAGTTTGCCTCTCCCGCCAGGACATAGCAGCCTCCTGCTTGGATAAAGGAAGAGGACAAACTGTCTTTCTCAAGCTTTGGAAACCACATGGCCTCCACCTTTGGGGATAATATCCGAGCGAGGTGCTTTTGTGAATGCAGAGAGCTTTGGTCAGGAGTGGCACAGCTGGGACTGCTTCCTCGTGGAGCCCGTCTGAGGCATGCGGGCCTGTTAGGCTTGCTGGCCATAAGCAAAGTCTGGCCTTTCTTCCTCTGAAGTCTGACACATCTTTTGCCTGGCTGCGAGATCACAGCCCCGAGCATTTACCTAAGCCTTGGCTGTCTGCACCTGCATCAGGCTATGAATATGATCTTCCTGCTGGTACCCCCAGTCTGGAGGCTTTCAAGGGGTGAGCTTTGTGAGGGTGGTAGAGGCGGCTCTTGTATCTGTTCAACCTCAGACAAAAGGGTAGGTTCTCTGCAGGTGGCTGGGCAGGTGCTGGCCTGTCTCTGCAAATCCTGACTGCCTAGAGTGGAAAGAGCCACCTGTAGAGGAAGGTTGAATGGATGGCGTGGGTTTAGGAGAAGGTATGTTTTGAGGAGCAACAAAGCAGAGCCCAGAGTAAGTACATGACCCACTCAGCATGCAGGGAGAGCTGTCAGAGAGCCAGGGCTGTTGGAAAGTGTTATTGCCCAAGACACTCTTGAAGTTCCATGACGTCAGATCATCAGAAGTTAAAAGGAGAGATTTCTGGGGCTGGGACATCCGGGGACTGCTCCCTCTGCCACCCCTTTTGACCCTGGGGAAGAGAAAACGTCGGCCTATGTCTTCAGCAGAAGGCTGCTTAGCCCTACCTCCCACCCCAACCCTGCCTACAGGGAAAAGACTGAAGAGGGAACTGTGGACCTCTGTCACCTGGTCTGTCCCAGACCTGCCAGCAAAAGCCAAACCAAACCATCAAGCCAAATGCAGTGGGGGCTCTCAGCCCAGCGCCCAGTGCGAGGGCCGCTCAGATCTCGATGAGGCTGGCCAGGCGCAGGCAGAGGGGGGCGTCCGCCGGCATCGCGCTGCGCTTGATCTCGTTCCCGTCCAGGCGCAGCACCTGCAGCTTGGAGAAGTTCATGACGTCCACGACGGTGCAGAAGCTGCTGATGGAGAACTCTGTGGGGACGAGAGGTCCAGAGTGGGTGGAGAAGCCCAATCATCGAGCTGGGTTTGCAGCCTCTGGGAAGCTGCTTAAATACTTCTGACGCCAGAGGTGGAACTTGGGAGTGTGGGGGCAGATGTTTCCCAAGACTGCAGTCAGATTGGCTGGCACCAGAAGGGTCAAAGTGGGGGTTCTGCCTGCATCTGTAGCTCAGCCTCCTAATCACCTCCTCCCCGCCTCCCTAGCTGTACTTTATACTCTGCAGACCCTTGACTGTCCTTGAGTGTCCTTCCTGCCAGGACCTGAGGTTTTTCCCACATGTGGGCAGCAGGGGGAAGCAGAGGGTAGCAGAGAGCAACATCAGCCACTTAGAGTACTTGATTGCTTTTGGAGAGGGAAAGCTTTGCAGAATTGCTATTCAAGAAGGAAGACTGGGCAAGTGAAGGGACCTCAACCTTGCATATATGTCCTGCCACTTTGTGGATACAGTGGTAGGAAATTGAAGAGAGACAGCCCGGGTCAAGAGACAAGTGTCTGTGAGTACCAGAGCTGCAGGGCTGGTACTCTATTCCGAGTCCTACTGGGCAGTGAGCGAGAGACTCTGAGGCTCAAGGAGGCTGGACACTCAGGGTGCTTCCTGGGACTCCTGTGGACCTCAAAGTCAAATAAATAATCTCCTGCCCATTGCATTTAATAAGATTATAGCCTACTCTTTTTACTCCCAAAAGAAGTCTCCTTTTTGGAAGAGTCCCCCCAAACTTCATAATCCTAATAGATACGATAGTTCTGGGACCAGCAGATGGCATAATAGTTACATCGCTGGACTCCCATGTAGTCAGCCGCAGTTTGAGTCTCAGACCCAGAGACTTAGAACTCATACTGACGCATGTGCATGTGTGCCCAGGATCCCAAGAGAATGGAGAAGGAATTGTGGTGTGGTTATGTCTCCTTGGGGGTGATTTCTTGCTTTCTGTCTCTCTCTGTCTCTCCAATAAGCACATGTTTCCTATATTAAAAATCTCTAAAAACAATAGATGCAATAGTTTTTTGTTATTATATTTTTTGTGTTTGATTTTATTTTTTGCTAGGGGCAAGTCAGAAAGAGAGGGAGAGGAGAAAGCACCCCTCGTGCAGATTGGTCGTGCTGAAATCCCTTCTTCTCCATCCCTCTGTCCTGTCAGGATTTGGGGTGTGCATGTATATGTTTGGCATCTTTCTCAGATCACTGGGTCTGGGATTCAAATTGCACGGTCAGCTATGTGCGATCCAGCTGCCTTAACCAGCAGGCCACAGAGCCAGACCCTGTTTGGTTTTAACTCAAGTCTGCTGCTGTGGTCCACCCTGTCCTCCCTCCAGCTGGCCCGGGTTGAGCAGACCAGTTCTCTTTTGGTTGTCCTCTTTGGTAACCAACCATTCCTGTCTGGGTCAGTCGCTTGAAAGGCAAAACCAGGAACTCAGGTAACACCCTGCAGGTAAAACTCTCAAGTAAAGGGTAGGTTCTCTGCAGGTGGCTGGGCAGGTGCCAGGTGCTGGCCTGTCTCAGCAAATCCTCACTGCCTAAGGTGGAAAGCGCCACCTGTAGAGGAAGGCTGAAAGGGTGGCATGGGTTTAGGAGAAGGTATGTTTTCAGGAGCAACAAAGCAGAGCCCAGAGTAAGTACACGACCAGCCCAGAACGCAGGGAGAGCTGTCAGAGAAGCCAGGGCTGTTGGACAGTGCTATTGTCTAAGAGACAAAGTTCCATGGCATCAGATCAGGAGAAGTTAAAAGGAGAGATTTCTGGGGCTGGGACAGCCACAGCCGGAAGCTGCTGGAGCCTCTCAGGGCTGTCTTTTATAAGGTGAGTGAGTGTCAGGAAAACTGCTCTGTCATTTCCTGCAAAGGGATTTAGACAGTTACCCACGAGGTCCTGAGGGTAGACTCGTGCACGTGTCCAGCCCTGGAGGCTGTAACACTAGGGCAGACTCAAAGCTGGGGCTTGCGTTTTACACCCCCCAGCTGACAGGTGGCCAGCAGGTGGGCGTCAGTCTGGGCTGGGCAGGGGGAGCCGAAATCGGCTTCTCTACTGCTCTTCTGGCAGGGACGCCCCTCAAAGGAGGTCATGGTGTGGAAATGATGGCTCCAAGGAAGACGGTGCAAAGTGTAAATAGGCTGATGAAGAAAGTGCTTTGAAAGCAGCACTATCAACTGTTTTCAACCTCTGTTAAGAACTGACCAAGATAGGCTGGCCTCATGGCCTAGTGGTTAAGGAAACCGGATTCTACATAGCTGACCATGGTTCAAATCCAGGCTCCAGTGGCTTAAAAAAAGCACCCCAGGCATATGTGTGTGCATGCTCCAAATTCCAACAGGATGGAGAACTGGAGGAGAGATTCAGGTGCGGCCACGTCCCAGGGGAGGGAGCTTTCTTGCTTTTCCTCTCTTCCTCTCCCTCTCTGTCTCTTTCTGGCAATTTAAAAATAGAAAAGAAGAAAAAAAAGCTGACCAAGATGAAATGGGGTGAGAGTTCAGCAGAATAACTTATACTGCAAATGTAAGACAGAAAATCCAGGCCCAAAGAATAATTGACACCGGGATGAGTGGGGAGACCAGGAAATACCAGTCTTTAGAAAGTGCTCACGGGGGCTGCAAGATCAGAGTGCTTTGGGCTGTTCCCTTTCTGGTCCCGGGAAATAGACTAGTGGCCTCTGAGTGAGCGAGAGGCAAGGAGGGGACAAGAGTGTGTGCAATGGCCCTCCCTCAGTATCACTTCCAACCGTCCTTGGGTCTGGAGCCCCAAGATGGTCTGCTGGAGTCCTGGAGCCCAGCCGTGGATGCATGCATCTGGGCATACTTGAGGGGTGCAGGACTCCCAGCGAGGATACATTCTAGCCACACATGGGCACCAAGCTCCGCCTGTCTCCCCCAAGCCTATGAATAGGACTGGGCTTCTGCTTGGCAGCTCTGGAAGACAGTTTCCAGCCCAGATTAAACACTGACATAAATCTTTCCAAATTCCTCCTGGTCTACCGCCCTGCTCCAGTGGGTCCCAAAGCTTCCGAATAACATTCCACTCTGTGTTCCCCCGCTGTTGCCAGGCTGGAAAAACTGAGGGAGCGCTGATGGAAAGGGACCGGGAGGGAAAGGATGGTGTCTTACTCCCCAGCAGGCCCTTGGGTCCCTGTTCTTTTAACACCTCCCCCCCCACCCCCGCCCCGAGGGTTGCTGCAATCCCACCTTCCCTGACTCCCACCCCAGGTTCCTGACTGGCCAGGCAGGGAACTGTCCCTCGCAGTTGCCATAGGAGGGAGGGCTGACCAGGAGCTGCTTTCCTGCCGGAGGTCTGAATCAGAGGCATCGCTCACCACGGCAGTGGTGGCTGGCTCTCTGTCCCTTGGTGCTGAAGGCAGGAGTTCAGGGTTCTATACGACATAGTCTGAGTGACCCTGAGAGATGACTATCTTGTCTGCATCTCAGTTTCCCCATCTTTGAAAAACAAAAAAAACACAACCACCCAAAACTAGCTATCAACTTCAGGGTGCCAGGGAAAATAAAAGTTAATCATAATAGTTATGTATTGGTTTTTAAATCATATGTCAGACCCTGGATCAAGTGCTTTACTGATATTAATTCACTAATTTAAGGAAAATAAGGTATTAATTTTATTTTGTCCAAAGAGAATGCTGGGAGAGAGACTAAATGGTAATAATGGAGGGGATTGGGCTTGAGTGGCACCATCAGGGATTGACCAGCAGATGGCGTGGTCTTTACCACGGAATCCCACATTGCTGAAAGTGCGGAATCCCACGTGGCTGACCCATGGGTCAACCCCTGGACCCTGAGGCTTGAAAAACACGTGGGGTGTGTGTGCATGTGTGTGTGTGTGTGTGTGTGTGTGTGCCCAAAACCCTGAGAGGAGAATGGAGGAGAAGGGATTACAGTGTGGCCACTCCCTGGAGGGGAGGGATTTCTCACTTTCCCTCTCTCTTTGTCTCTGTTTCTCTCCAGTGAGCACACATACCCTCTGGCAAAAATCTAAAAACAACAAAAAGAAATCATACTATAGGGATTTTAGGTAGACATTGAATTTTTTGTTTGTTTGTTTGTTTTTTAGAGAGGTTTTGGCTATAGGTTGTGTGCGCTTGCCAGAAAGACACAGAGAGAAAGAAAGACAGAAAGCAAGAAATCACCCCCCAGGGGGATGGCCATGCCACAATCGCTTCTCCTCCATTCTCCTCTCGGGATCTTGGGCACGCACGCACACCTAGCATGAGTTTAAGCCACTGGGTCCGGGACTCGAACCGTGGTCGATTACATGAGAGTCCAGCGACATAGCCATTAAGCCAACTGCTGGTCCTGACCTTGAACATTTTTAGGCTGGAACCAGCAAATTGCCTAATGTTTACGTTTTTGGACTCCCACGTAGTTGACGGCAGTTCGAGTCTCAGGTTGGGCATCTTCATCTTAAAACTCACGCTGTGTGTGTGTGTGTGTGTGTGCCCGAAATCTTGAGAAGAGAATGAAGAAGAAGGGATGGTGACATGGCTATCCTCCCAGGGGGTGATCTCTTGCTTTCTGTCTCTCTGTCTCTCTGTCTCTAGCGAGCACACGTGCCCTATAGCAAAAATCTCTCTGAAAAAAAAAATAGAGATATTTGGTCGAATGGAGAACTTTCTTGCAGGATGTTAGAGCACTTCACTAAAGTGACCTTGTTTTCTGACAAGCTTTCAGAAGGGGTGGCACTCCACATCGGAGCACAGGTGTGTTTTCAGGAAGGCAGAGAGATGGCAGGGTGCTGACACCAAGTCCTTCCCCCCGCCTTCTCCGAGGACACGGAAGGGTAGGTACTAAGTCATGGATTCCTTCCTCAGCAGCTGCTCTTTGCCGTCACGTTCTCGGGGCCAAACTTGGCGAGGCACAGCATGTGCGGGACGTCCCTGACGTGCCAGTCCTCCCGAGCTGAGGCTGGCGGTAAGTGTGGTGACTGCTGGGTGGATGATAGATGAGTTGATGTCAAACCCTTTGCAATGTGCAACCGCTTCACGATGTCTGTGAGGACCCCACCTCTGCCTGGGAACAAGATCCTAAAGGACAAACTGCAGGAAAAACAGTCTGAACCAGACACGATGGTGTCTTGCACTTCAACCTAGAGAGCCACACAGACACCCCTTCAGTTCGCCTGCCTGCCCCCCATCACAGTCAGGGCTGGTGCTGCTCCCACTCAGGGAGGGCTGTCTGGCTCGTCAGCATCTTGCTGAATGACTCTCCTGATCCTTGAGCATGGACAGAGGGAGGAAGGAGAGGGCGAGCTCGATGGTCCATCCCCAGGGTGCTTTGGTGGCCAGGCGTTCTCAGCAGACTCTACTTCAAAGCCTTTGCCAGCGTCATTAAGGCCTCTCTTCCCCACGGAGAGGGGGACGTGCTGACAGAGGAGGGAGGTTAAATGCTGGCTCAGTGCTTTCCAACTGGGATTAAGACATCAGGGGCCCTAGGGTTCTGGAAGCTCATTCTGAACATAAGATTCTCAGAGGGAAGGGAGCTGCACGGCCTCCTGATAGTCCATCTAAAATGGATATTTGGATTTCTAGAGGCAGGGATAGAGGCGGAGGCCGCCCTTTCTGTTCCTTTAGGCATTTGCAGGGAAGCGCTGACACGAGAAGCCCAGGGCCCCCTGCCCCTCAGGCTTCCTGGTGTTCCAGCTCTTGTTACCCTAGGGAGGATCTCTGCCCTGCCACCAGGGGCTCCTTGTCCTCCAGGGAGCGCTGAGCAGAAGCACTCGCCCAGCTGAGGCTGCACGCTTGTCCACCAGTGTTCTGTTTAAACACACACCAGAACCCGAGCCCAGGCTACAGAGGAGGAGCGGGCCGAGTGAGAGCAGAGCGCTCATCCTCGCCGGGGTGGTGAAAGGACAAGCGTCATGGTTTCTCAGCAGCCCACCTTCCTCCCAAGACGGCCCCTCAAGCTCAAACTTCAGCCTCTCTCCCTATGAACTATCTGCTCCCACACTTCCACAAACTCGTCCCTCACTGCTTCTCAGTACCGGTCCCTTCCTCTCTGCTGCAGGCGTTTCCTGGCTATCCCCCACAGGTGACAGTTCTCCTTGTGGCAGTTCCCAGTCCCAGAATAGCTCCTTCCTGCATCCCTCCCACCGTGCCCACTTGTCTTTGGCCTGGACTTTACCTCTCCCGGGATGTGCTCTCTGCACCGACCCTCTCCCCAGGGATGGTCTGCACATGGCGGCATAGCGTCAGCGTGTACTCTTGTGCACCGCCTGTGCAGGGCTCCGACTGCTAGGCTCTGTCTGGGTCTCCTACTCCTATTTCTTCTGTCTTGCCACTGGCACTCAGAACAGGGTCTTTGCAATCAAACAGATGGCCCTCCCCGTGCCCCTTTAGGTCTCACCATTGATCCGGTTGCCTTGAAGGTAGAGGTTCTCCAGGTTGGTGTTGACGGGGGGGATCTTCTGCAGTTGGTTGTAGGAGAGGTCGAGCTCAAGGAGGCTGCTGGAATTGAAGGCGTTGGAGGCCAGGCCGTTGTTGGTGAGGCTGTTATGGGACAGGCGCACATACAGCAGCTTGGGCGACCCCCGGAAGTAGCTGTCGGGGACGGTGTAGACGTTGTTGTGCTCCAGGTAGAGCTGCTCCAGGGCCGAGGGCAGCCCGTCGGGTACCCTCCGCAGGTGGTTGTAGCTCAGGTCCAGCAGGATCAGGGAGCGGAGGCCCCTCATGGCATTGCCCACGTCCTGGATCTCGTTGTGTTGCAGGTACAGGGCCGTGAGGTTCTCCAGCCCCTCCAGCGCGTTGTTGGGCACCCGTGAGATCTGGTTGTGGTTGAGGTGGAGCTCTCTCAGGGACCGAGGCAGCGGACCCGGCATCCGGGTCAGGTTGTTGTGGTCCAGGTACAGCCTCTCCAGGTGCCTCAGCTTGGAGAAGATCTTCCTGCCCACTTTGTCGCTGGTGATCTGGTTGCCATGGAGAGCAATCCAGAGCAGCCCGGTGGCGTTGTCAAAGACGCCCTCCTGGATGGAGGAGATCTGGTTGTTCTGGAAGTAGACGTACTTCATGCGGGAGGGGACGAAGGGCAGGTACTTGAGGTTGCGGTTGTCACAGTACATGGCCGTGGGGAAGTTGGGGGGGCAGTCGCACTCCTGGGGGCAGTCGCGGGGCTCTGGGGGGGATGGAGAGCCATAGGCATAGGCTGGACCCTCCTCCACGCCGTAGGGGTAGTGCTCGTAGGGCTCATATGGGTAAGGGTCATAGGGATCGTCGTAGGTGGACTGCTGGCTGCGAAGGTACTGGAACCACCAGTGAGGGTCCTCGTCATACTGGGCCCAGGACACCGAGCAGAGCCCTACCAGCAGCAGGAGGGAGGCCCACTGCATTTTGTCTCTGCAAGAAGGAGAGAGGGCAGAGTGTGAGAGCACCCCCGGGAGGCAGTCGGGCTGAGCAGGCAGCCCTAAGCTGTGACCGCTGCAAATGTGACTTCATGCTCTCATCTGAGAGCAGGTACCTCGAGTCCCTTCTCAGCTCTGTGCACTCAGTCCAGCCAGACTGAGCTGCCTTGGGTGAGCCAAGCGTGTTTCCCCCTCACCTTAGAGCCTCAGAAACAGTCTTTGAGATGAGAAGGAACTTGAATTTGGAGGAATGGCCACATATTTCTTGAGGGGCAGGGCCTTGGGAGCCTCTGAACCCCGAAGGTTCTGTCAAGGGGCTGGAAGTCCTCGAGAATCCCTTTGTGTGTGTGTGTGTGTGTGTGTGTGTGTGTATGTGTGTGTGTGGGGGGGGGGAGCGTGTGTGTGTGTGTATGTGTGTGTGTGGGTGGGGGTAGCAGAGGAGGGGAGGGAGTGGGAGGGCTAGTCCCAGGCTGGAATTCACATCCAGCTGGACTCCCCAGGGAAACATCTCCTAAGAGGCTGATGAAAAGCTCTCTTGCTTTTTCCATGTCTCTGGGAAACACCCGGAAGTGGCTTGAGAGCTCACGGGACGATCTGAACTACTTCTTTAAGATCTGCTGGTCTCTCGGGCAGGCTGGGGTCTCTAATTTGGAGAGAGGAGTGGTTCCTTTGCAGTCACCATGGGCTAGCACCCTCCAGAGCAGCGTCTACAACAGTGTGCTAGGCAAGAACTTGGTGGTTTGTGGCCACGCGTTTAGCTTGGCTAGGGCGGGGCCTTCAAATCATACTTAGAACTCTCCAGACCGGGGCACCGGCGCTGAGCACCAAGTGGCTGGAGGCAGGGCTAGCCCAGGTCCCTCTCTGGCGTCTGGTAATGTTAGTGCTCCTCAGGCTCCACCAGGCACGTCCTGGCAAGAGCCCCGTGGGGCCGAGAGAAATGAATCAGGAACCCGGGAAAATGGGCTAGAAAGTGGAGACTCTCTGGAATGCCCGGGGGAGTCTGGCACCCTCTTCCCCATCCTAAGGTACCTGCTCCAAGGGATGACACTGATGATGTCACCCAGTAATGACCGGGTTCTGAATCTAGGCCCCCCACATGGCTGGGAAGCCTGTTGCTTTTGAACTTCCTGTGCTGGTGAGATGCGAGCAGGGCAGGTCTGGAGAGAAACGTGGGGTGTGGGCTCATCTGACGGGGAAACTGAAGGTATGGAAGATGACAGACTGGGTGTGGCTACTGGAGTACTACCTGGGGGACCTGTGGCCAGGGCACTGCCTTGGGCGCAGTGGGCGCTTCCAGGGCAGTGACTGTGATCTTTGGACAGAGAAATCTTAGACTTCTCCTGGCCTGGAAGAGACACATGTTCCTCATTGCTGGGGTGAGCAACTGTGGACAGGATGGGGGGACCATAAAGGCCATCATCGGGTCAGTGAGCTGATGGAAGGACCCTGACAACTGGGTCACCCTCTGGCCACCACCCCTCCCAGACCTCGCTGCTCCCTGAGAGCAGTTCCTTGGGCCACTGCCTCCCATCAGCCCCTGGCTGCAGAGGAGCAGGCAGCCTGGCTCATCCTCAGGCAGCCTTAGGCCTCAGACAAAGAGCCACAGTGTTTTCGAGAAGCAGGCCCAACTGCCCACTGCCTGGGCATGCTGGCTGGTCCCTGGCTCTGGCCAGGACAGAAGATGGATGGAGCGGCCTGCCGCCAACAGCGCATTTTTCCGTGCACAGCCCTGGGCTGCAGCAGGACCAAGGTGGCAGTCTGGAGGCCTGGCACAGTGAGCCTCTGTCTCCACTTCTCCTTCTTCCAGACTGGGCACCTTTGCGGATGAGAGTCACCTTCCTCTTCAGGACTCATCCTTCCAGGGCTGTGCCCGACCTGCCCACTCTGGCTTCTCCTTAGAGCCAGGGCTGCAGACGTGCTTTTATGGAGAGCTCTCGCCTCTCCTTATCCTAGTCCTGTTTCCCAGCAATGCTGCTTCAGGGCTGTGCGCCCTTCAGTGGTTTCCAGCAATGCGAGCACCCCTCCTGTGCCCAGAGTTCGGGGAGGTGAACTGCTAGGACTCAATGAAATGGGGGTCAGGGGCTGACTCGGAAGCCGCTGCTGTGCTTTCAATTCTCCACTCCAGGGAAAGGGCTCTCCCTCTGAGAGTCGAGGACTCTGAGCCAGAAGTCACCCCCTATCCTGGACAGGAACCCTAGCTCAGTCCACAGCTCTCTGCACATGGCCAATTCTCAGCACGTCTCTGTCCTCGCCTTTTACCCCAGCCACACACACACACACACACACACACACACACACACACACGACTCACCCCCATCAGCATTCAGGGAGCACAGCCCCTCTGCGAGAGAGACTGCAGGTCACCCAGGACCTGGGCTGCCCTCCAAAGTGCCCTGAAGCCCAGAGCAGTGAGATTTAGGAGTTGGAGGGGAAAGGCTTCCCTGGGTATGGGGTTCTTCACTTTCCCATGCCTGAGAGCTGCAGGCCCCCCTCACCCATGAGGGACTTGCAGAAGAATATTCCACACTGGACCCCCTTCTCTCTACTCTCCCTTTCCCTTGCCAGCGCCCCGGGGGTCAGGGCCAGGTGAGGAGAAGGAGCAGGGACTTCTCCCTCCTGCCCCTCTCCCTGTTCCGAGTCCCTTTCTGTCATTCTTTTATGGAACTACAAGGAGTAAAAACCAAAGTAAAATGACCAAACTTACCTCAAGTTGAACCTTTCAGAGAGTGACCACGTCCCTCTGTCTGGCCTCTTTGGGTTGGAGAACGTGTGAGAGAGAGAGAAAGAGAGAGAGAGAGGAGTGAGAGTGTCTACTGAGAGTGTGCGTGTGTGTGCCAGACCAGGGTCCCGCCCCCAAATTCCTAATCAAATATTGTGAAGAGAGGGGCTGAGGAGCCGGGATCCTGGCTTTTTCGGGCTCTGCTGCAGGGGCGGGGCCCACACTAACCACGCAAAATCCTTCTGTCGGCCTGACGCTATGAAAACCACCTTCTTTCCACTCACTTATCTTCCCGGAGCTCTGGCAGCCCTGGGTCTCTTCCTGCTGAATGAGTTAGTGGCGCTCTAGAACTTATTTGTACAGTCTCTTATGAAGAGCCTGGATTTCTCATTAAAGTCAAAAAGGCAGATGCAGGGGTGGGGAGGGCAGGGGCTTGGGAATAGGCATCTTAACTCTTTCAGCAACCAACAGTGGGTAGCCCCAGACTGCTAGTACTCCTCTTCTTGGTTCCGACAACCCTACAGGCAGGTTATCAGACCAGGGCATTTCTTAACACAGGCAGCTGGCCTGGTGACAGTTTCATCCCTGTCCAGTAGAGACTTTGCTGGGTCATCGCCCTCTGCCCCTACACTGGAATAACTGGGAAGGGGGGTCCAGTCCTCGGTCAGTTACCCTAGCATCAGATGCCCTCACTTAATGCAGCAATTTGAGGGTTAATAACACCTTGTTGGGCGCAGCAAGGACCGGACGAGGTCACATGGGAGAGATGCTGAGCTAGCACGTGGCTAACCTCGCTCCATGTGGATTACTGTCACGCCCATTTTACAGATGTGCAGTTTCTGAGCCAGGGCGAGGCGAGGTCAGAGCCATGGACAGGAGCTAGACCACGAAGAACTTTCAGACCATGGGAAGAGTTGGGGTTCAGTTCCAACTGTTACTAAGAAATGTTTTAAGAGGGGGGGTTAGGGACCAGCAGTTGGCATAATGGCTATGTCACTGGACTCCCACGTAGTCGAACGTGGTTTGAGTCCCGGACCCGGTGGCTTAAACTCACGCTAGGCACATGTGCATGCATGCCCAAGATCCCTAGAGGAGAATGGAGGAGAAGGGATTGTGGCGTGGCCATCCCCCTGGGGGGTGATTTCTCGCTTTCTGTCTCTGTCTCTGTCTTTCTGGTGAGCGCACGCGCCCTATAGCAAAAACCGCTCCAAAAACAAAAGGGGAAGGATATAGGATCCATTCACAGTTTATTTCGTGAGAGCGAGAGAGAGTGAGGCACCCTTGGCGGGGTCTCATCATGCTGTGATCCCCGTTCCCCTCCCCCCCAGTCAGGATCTCAGGTGTGCACCAATGTGCTTCAGGTTAACCCAGGATCTAAGCCCACAGTTGGCTCTGTGGCTCCCAGCAGGGCAGGGCAGGGCAGAGTAGTACGCTACCACCTGCACCACCAAGGCTGGAAACAATTTACCTTTTTAAAAGCACATGGAAAGGCCAGCCTGTGGTCTAGCAGTTAAGGCAGCTGGATCCCACAAGGACAACTTTATGGTTTAAGTCTTAGACTTTGCAGTTTGAAAAACACACTGGGTACAGGTGCGTGCATGCCCAGAAATCTCAAAAGGAGGGAGAAATGGAGGAGAAGGGATTATGGCTCTCCCCCATGGAGGGTGCGTTCCTGCTCTCCCTCTCTCTTTTTGTCTCTCTCTGGCAAGTGCATGTGATTTCTGGCAAACTGAAAATAAAAAAGCACAGGGCAAAGATGGCCGTGTGGAGAAAGGGGGGCAGGGGTGGAAACAGGGTGCTCTAACCCAGCCTCAGGGAGATCAGAGGTGGATCAGATAGGGAGGCTGGGGAGAGTCAAGGCGATGCTTAGAATTTCAGTTAGAGCAGTGTGGTGGGGTGTGCTGCTTTCTACCTTGGCAAAGATGGGAGGAACGGAGCTGGGTGGGAACCCAAAGTTATGCTTTGCATGCTTTAAGTTGGAGGTGCCTAGTAGCCATAGCAAAGGAGACACTTTCCGACGGCTCTGACAGCTGGAAGGAGTGGAGGGGGCAATGACCACACTCTGTCAGGGCTGGACTCAGCTAAGATGAGGCCCAATTAACTGAGTCTTTTCAAAGGACATGGGTCTTGGCCACTGGGGAGACACTCCTTAGGTGGGCCTAGACAGCCTGGGTAAATTCACCCATTGGGTAGTTACTTATTTTCTAAATTCCAGCATGCTGACTAATGCTGCAGTTACTAACAATGAAAGTCGGTAGCATCTGCACACCAAATATTGGGATTCTTCCCCACTGAGCTCTCCCAAAACAGGCAGCATCTCCAAGTGGTTTGGTGACCGTTTCTGAAATAGTGAGATTCAGTTGTCTGTCTTGTTCCAGGTGGGCCTGAGAGGAAGAAAGGGGAGAGGGGCTGACAGGACCAGGTCAGGAGGCAGAGTCCCTGAGAGCCACTTACTGTTCGAAAGCTCCTTTTCTAATCTCTCTAGCTTCCATTTTGATGGCTGATTCTGGGATCTAGGCCCTCAGAGCTTGGCTTCACCTGGAAAGCCAAGTATGGGGCCCTGATGTCCCCTAGGTTGCCAAAGGAGTCCACATGTTACATGTCGCATGCTTGCTGATGGAGGGCCACTGGGGATACGGGTGCTCTTGAGAGGTGTCAAACCAACACCACCCAGTCGCTAGACTGCAAGCGAGTGGAAGACAGGGAGAGCGATTCCTCTGTAGCCCCTACTCACCGCTGGACACACAATGCCTGGAACTTAGTAGGCAGTCAGTGAAGTGCTGTGTGATGAATCATATTCTTGGCTCCCCACAGAGTCTGCTGGTCTTCAGTACTCAACGCTGGGTGGAATAACCGCCACCAACCAGACCAAGAAAACCCTTCATGGCCAGCTAGACTTTCCAAGCGTTCTGGCCACTGCTATTTCCTCCCTACCCAGAAAAGTACAGGTTAAGCCACAACCACTAGGCAAACCTGATTGCTTCTGACGTGGGACTCTTCCCGTCTGAGAGGAATGAAGCGCCTCTGACTCAAATTCCCACCAGCAAAGACACAGGCTCCTGTGGCTGCGCGGCGCCTGCTATTTCCTCCCTACCCAGAAAAGTACAGGTTAAGCCACAACCACTAGGCAAACCTGATTGCTTCTGACGTGGGACTCTTCCCGTCTGAGAGGAATGAAGCGCCTCTGACTCAAATTCCCACCAGCAAAGACACAGGCTCCTGTGGCTGCCAGCCCCTCTTCACTCCCCCAGAGGACCCAACAACTCCTGTCTTTATGACGGTCTCTGAGCCCAGACAGCAGACAACCCAAAGATGAGAGGTAAGACTGAACATTCACCCAGGTAGAATTCTTCTTGACTTGGGCAGAAAGATGATCCTGGTGATACAATCCAGGCCCCACTGTGGGCCCAGCCTGAAAATTCTTGACGCCAGAGAGGGAATTTTTACTAGTCTGATATTTAGATGGAAAGTCTTGACAACACTGGCACCCAACAATGGTGTCCTAAAGTTTCCAAGATAGAAGTTCTTCCCCTGCCCTTGGCACCGAAGGGTCATTAGATGTCCTCACCACGGAGTCTCCTCTTTCCAGAAGGATGAGAGCCGTGACGATGCTGGAGCTGGAGGGACAACTTGTTTTCTTTCAACTGCAGTAGGAGAAAGACCTCAAGTTCCCAGTTCTGGAGATGCACGGAGAGCTTCCAATTTTTCATCTAGTAAGCTGTATTCTTGCCTGTTCTGCTGCTAATTATCCAAGTCTGGGCACTTTGTAAAATAAAGAGGTTTATTCAGCTGCAAGTGTGGAGGCCCAAGGTCAAAGGGTCACATGTTGAAGGTCTTCTGGCTGCATTTCAGCATGGGGGAGGGCAGGAGCCCGAGTCTCTGTGCCTGCATCTCTATCCTGGTCTTACTCTGTCTCCTCATAGACCCACCAGGAGTCCACCATGGGGCCCCCACCTGATGCCCTTAATTCTAGTTCTCTCCCCAAAGCCCCGCCTTCCACCGTCATAGTCAGATTAAATTCTCCCTCTTACAACCAAATCTCAACACATGAATTTTGAGGGGATATATTCAGACTGCAGCAAGTTGTTCAAGATCAGGACAGAGAGAACAACCTTCCTCATTTAATGGCTAGCATCCCTAGTTTCTGCTGTGTTTATTGCATGCCTGGTATGTGTTCACAAGATGTTGACATGATGGATTCCAGAAGACCACCTTCTAGAAAGTGTAAGTGCATTTGGGTTTGGAAAGGGACAGAATAAGGAAGGAGGCAGAGGGGGTAACCTAAAACCTGAGGCCTGTAGGGTTTGGTCATTCAATGACTCAGTACAAGAAGTTCCCCTTTCTTATGCAATTGAGCTAAGAACTAGTGGTGTCCCTGAGACTGTGCTGGGGGCTGTTGGAGGGAACCAGACAGACCAGTTCCCAGGGGGCTGCTGCGGACTGAAGGCAGGTAAGACTAGTTGTAGATATTAGCTCTGCAACACCAGCCACGCTTTCTGAGATTCTCACCACAGCCCTAAGAGAGAGGTATCATACCACAGTTTTACAAGGTCAGGGAGGCAAGTCAATTTGCTCAAGATCACACAGCAATTAAGTGGCAGAGCTGAGATTGTAAACTTGCCTGTCTGCTTCTAATCTGAGTTCCTAACTACAAAGTCGTCAGTTTAAAGGGGGGAAAATAAGGATTTGGATCAAGGATATATGTTCAGAGCCCGGCTCCTGTGCTTACTATCTCTGTGAGATTCACTGTCCTCATTCATAATTGGGACAATAACCCAACCTCCTGACTCCTACACGGCTGTCCTTCAGTAAAGGACACGACACCACCATGGATTATTTCAGTGGATGGCAAACTCCCCAAGAAGAACATCAATGCTTAGTCTCTATTAGGCCCCTTTCTTTTTCTGTTTAGTTTTTTTCTTTATTCATGATAGAGCCCATGTATGCACGAGAGAGAGAGAGAGAGAGAGAGATCACGCTGTGATCCCCTTCCACAATCCTCCAGCACATCAGAGCTCATTCACTCACACACATGCCCAGAAAGTCCCAGGCAGCCTGGATGGCGGAGCTAGCCTTGGGTTAGGCTCTTTCTAAGCATTAGTTGGGTTAAAGAAAGCTGAGGGAGGTGTTAGTTCAGAAACGGGCTGGTGGGGTAGACAGGAGGGCCCGAGTCCTCACGTAT